TGGTGCACCACTGTATTACCACTGAACTTACGTGTTAACTCCTCAGGAACTGTCCACTTAATATAAAGTGTAACATTCTGGACACCAACCACAATTTATATGTAAAGCCTAACTTACTGGCCGCTGCTGTGTAACATCAGCGTAATTACATGGTAAATCCATAGGAATTGTTTTACTTAATATAAAGTGTAACACTTTCTTTACCAAAAAGTGCTGTTAGTCCTGTTACACATTTGTACTTTCATTACCAAAAAGTGTTGTTACCAATGTCCTGTTACACATTTGTATTTACACATACCATTCAGTGGGTTGTTACATATGTGTAGTTACACAAACATTACAGCTGTAGATACTATGTACCAATACGTACTTACACTGTGGTTACATAGTACGTACACGTCTAGTTACTATGTAAGTACACAGGTATTAGGGACACAATATAAAGTGGGACCAAATTACTTGTTAATCTTTTATCCCATGGATTTATTTTCCAGATGTAGATGTTGCCCTCCCAAGTGTTGGTCCAGCAGTGTTTTGTGGAGTAGGTCTGACTCTTGGGCTGTTGGGAGTCATTTTGGGAACGTTCTTCCTCATTAAAGGACACAACTGTCACTGACTAATGAAGCCATGGAAGCAAACTTTGAAAATATCTATTAATTGTTTTTATAACTGAGCACTTTGAAAACAGTAATAAAAATAAGATAAGTGTCATTCTACATGACAAGTGACAATTGATGCTGAAGGTATACCTTTGGATTAAATCAACATTTTATTGCCTCTCAAATACTTCAAAGCATGATAAACCTTACTGTGTAACACTAAACATGTATATAAGGGATAGTTCACCCAAAAATGAAACTTCTGTTATTCTGTCATTATAAAGCTCAAAAAGCCTTTAACAGATTTTTCTTAAATCTTACACATCACATTTGCAATTCATAAGAAGTCATCTATACTCTCATCACATGGTCATACATTATTTTAAATAACATTGATTAAAAAACACTTTCTCAATAACATATAGACATTTGAAAATGAGATGTAAATGAATCTTAAATCACATTAGTGTAATTGTTGTAATTCATATATATTCAGAAGCTTAGTATTTTCTTCTTTGACAAAAAGACATTTTAAAAATGAACACAGAAAGATGGGTACAAGTGTTGTAACGGGTAATCTGGGTTTGTTTTCTGTTTTGGTGGGTTTTGAATCATGTTTCTGTTCTGTCATAATTTTCAGTCATTTTCCTGTGTTTTAGTTTCCTTGGTGATTCATTGTTTGATAACCTGTTGCACCTGTTAATTAGTTTCTCTGTGTATTTAGGCATTGTGTTTCTTCTGTTCTTGATGTGATCTTGTCATTATTAAGTTAGTTGTGCCAGTGTGCTTTGTGTCTTTTCGCTAAACTTCACTGCTTGTATTTAGACCCAGCTCTTTATTGCAACCTACGCATGGTAGTTGAAGAACGTAGGCAAAGTGCACTAAAGAAACAGACAAACCTTTGGCGGAATCTGTGCCTTCATTGGATTTAATTGTGTGATGTGTGACGTCACAGTTATCCAAGTTTTCATTAAAATAGCTCATGCATCCAAAACCTATTTGAACTCATTGTATTTCAAAATAATTCGTATGGGATTCAGATTTTTTTTTACTAGAAAAACAATTTAGGGGCTTATTGGTTGGGTATGCTGCATAAATAATGATGATGAGACCAGCTTTGGAAATAGAAAAAGTAAAAAAAGGTAAAAGAGAAGCTGAACTATTGATTGGAAGCATCCAAATATGCCTGTTATAGCAGACTAAGAAATATTATGTGAAAAGAGTAAAATGTCCAAATTCACAGTGTTTAAGATTACTTACAAAGTCTGGTGAGTTCTGAAGTGCATACAATGGATACTTTACGCATAAGGAAAGGATTCGTAAATGGTGAGTAAGCGAAGCAACTCACTGTGGTTCACATGATAGTATCAACATGGTTGATGTAGTATGTCCAAATTGCATTTGGGCTACACACGTTTACAGTGCAAACTGTGTAGGTCCCTATATATATATATATATATATATATATATATATGTTAAACGTAAATACATATGAACATATAGGCTAAATGTCTAGCCAAAACAAATTTATTGAAAGAGAAACTGAAACATACCTAAATCTCTCATTTGTACGGTGTACATTTTAGAAATCTCTCATTCGGCGCAAATACAGATGTTTCCCACTAGAGGCTCTGGTGCATTCACTTTTTCCTTATAACAGCAGAAATGACTTAAAGGGGTCATATGATGCGATTTCAATTGTTCCTTTCTCTTTGGAGTGTTACAAGCTCTTGGTGCACTGATCTTTTTAGCAGCATCATATGACCCCTTTAAAATAGTCTACCTGTCATTTTTAGTCATACACATAAGAATAAGACATTATTTGGAACTGTAAGGGGTTCACTTTCACTTGTGTATATTCACAGGAAAAACAAAACATTGTGCCTTTGTAAAATAAAACATGGGGGGGGGTTTGTTTATGTGCTAATTATTTAAGTGAAACAATTTGTGTAGCCTTTTTAATGTTGTTCCTTTTATATTTGTGAGCCTGGAACACAAAAGCAGTCTTAAGTCGCTGGGGGATATTTGTAGCAACAGCCAACAATACATTGTATGGGTCAAAATTATCCATTTTTCTTTTATGCCAAAAATCATTAGGATATTAAGTAAAGATCATGTTCCATGAAGATATTTTGTACATTTCCTACTGTAAATACATCAAAACTTAATTTTTGATTAGTAATATGCATTGCTAAGAACTTTATTTGAACAACTTTAAAGACGATTTTCTCACTATTTAGATTTTTTTGCACCCTCAGATTCCAGATTTTCAAATAGTTGTCCGATCCTAACAAACCATACATCAATGGAAAGCTTAATTTATTCAGCTTTCAGATGATGCATAAATCTCAATTTCACAAAATTGACCCTTAAGACCAGGTCCAGGGTCACAAATGTCATTTTATTCTGTTTTCATTCCTTCACAGAAGTGCTGCAAGTGTGTGATGTGACGATGTGTGAATCCTCATCATGTTCTGTTGTTTGTGCTGCTATTTGCGCATGCATTAAACCCCTGAAGAAAAAAAAGGTATTTTCTAATTTAGTTTTAAATCTAATTTAACAATATCGTTTTGTTAACGGTTAATAATCAGTCTGTCAGGTCAACTTTTAGGGAGGCCTAAAAGTCACTGTATTCTACCTTAGTGTGTTAGTCACTAACATTATACAGTATTTTTTAATAAAGTTACCAAGGTTTTTTCAATAGAGTAAGAGTTCAATAGTTTCTGTAAGAAAAAAGAAGGGGGAAAATATCCACACCACAGTTTTATTTAAATTGATAATTGGATGGTTTTTGAGATGATAATTGAAAGCAGGATACTACCTAGTAACATTTGATATTTACACCTGGAGTAACTGATTGGACAGTCAGCTTAAACATCCACCTGACATGAACATAAAGCACTGGCAACATGCAGCTGGGATTCAGTGCTTGTGGAAATGTCACTGCTACAGTACTCGAGTTGTCATCTCATTTTGACACTGTCTGTATTGACTGGAGCAAAAAGTGGTAAGATGAGAGTAATACAATTGCATACCAACAATAACTGCATTAGTAGTAGTAGATGTAAATGATTTAAATGATATATGTTTTTTAGAAGAGTGACTTGTTTGATTGTCCTCTGAGGATGGATTACTTAAACTGTTTGTGGACAGCATCATTTGACATATGACTGTACGCCACAGATTCATCTTTCCCTGTGTATTACTTATAAACGTATAAAAGTTCCTCTCTTTTTTTTCTTGTTGTCATATTTATCTGACAAAAGTGTGATTTTTGTTCTGCCTCTTTTTCAGCTGATGACTATTACATAAGACGGTCAAGATGCATCTACAGCTCTCCCGATTTCAGTGACATGGTGTATATTGACAGCTTTTATTTAAATAAATTTCTATTCACACAGTTCAACAGTACTTTGAGGAAGTTTGTGGGGTTTAGCGAGATCGGAATGAGAGTTGCAGAGGGATGGAATAATAGCCCCTTTTTGCTAACAGAGAGAACTGGTGTTAATGTATGCACATTTCTGTTTAAAAGCGAGGACACACCTGACCTTGTTAAAGTAGGTAAGTGGCTCAAAACTTTTTTTTTTTTTTTTACATTTGTGTTATTTCTATATGAGCATATACTAACTGGAAAACAATTATTAATGGGAAAAAATGTTTTAATGTTATGAGTGATCTACTCTAACATCTAAGAATTAAATCTATTTTGAGTAAAAATAATTGATATTTCTCTGCTTTGTTCAAATGCCATTTCTCATGTCAACCTGCAATACACGCACACATACATGCATTGGACTGCATATTTATAATGTTGCTCTCTTTGATTCAGTGAAACCAAAGGTTAAGCTCAGTTCAGTGACACAGGCTGGTGGCAGACATCCAGCTGTGTTGATGTGCAGCGCATATGAATTTTATCCTCCGCACATCAAAGTTTCCTGGCTGAGAGATGGTAAACCAGTGACCTCTGAAGTGACCTCCACTATGGAGATGGCTGATGGTGACTGGTACTACCAAATTCACTCTGAGCTGGAGTACACCCCCAAATCTGGAGAGAAGGTCTCCTGTATGGTTGAGCATGCTAGCTTCAATAAACCCATGATCTATGACTGGGGTAAGATGAGACACATAGGCCTGGTTTCGCAGACAGGGCTTAGATTAAGCCAGGATTAGGCCATAGTTCAATTAGGACATTTAAGGCTACGTCTACATTAATCCGGATACATCTGAAAACGGCGTTTTCGTTTTAAAACGCTCTCCGTCCACACTAGTGTTTTCCAAAAGTGTCTCATCCACACTGAAACATCAGAAAACGTTAAACTCGCTTTCTGCGCATGCGTAAATCCTCAAAAAAGCTCACTGACAGGATTATTTTATTTACGAAAATAACTCACCATTCACTGACGCGTCCAGGTCGCACACACTCACGATTGTGTGTTTGATCTAAAGCACAACTGCCCTCATGTTTTGCCGCAAATAGCAATCGCGAGTAAATTTGCTTTCATCTTTGCAGGACTGTGATATGAAGAGTGTACAAAGTAACACAGCTATAGCAATAGTGTGAAAGTGCATAGCACATAACGTGCACAATACCAGTATAAACACTGATATCTATTGGTATAATATGCGTCACATGACTAAACTTGCGTCATCTTTTTTCAAAAGCACACTACGACGAAACGGCGTTTTCAAATTTATCCACTTTGGAGAGCGTTTTCAAAAAGCTGAGTTTTCCTCGATTAAAAACGCCGTCTCCGTGTGGACGGAGAGAAAAAGATGCGTTTTCAAACAAAAACGTATTAGTGTGGACAAGGCCTAAGTAAGTTTTATAAACGTGCCTTAGAAAAAAACATGAGTGGTGTCCCTCTTGAGACAAAACGTTCAGTCAGTGCAAGTTTCTTTCAGCTGAAACAGCTCAGACTTACATTTTCAGTCTGGGACTAGGCTTAAGACTTGTCTGTGAAACCGGGGGCTACTGTCATATTATAACTGTGTTTGTGGTAAGCATAATTGAACATATGATATCTGACATGCTGTACTCCACAGATCCGTCTCTCCTTGAGTATGAGAGGAATAAAGTTGCTATTGGAGCCACTGGTCTGGTGCTGGGAATCATCATCACAGCTACTGGACTCATTTACTTCAAGAAGAAATCAACAGGTATGTGGAGATGAGAATAACTCAGATTCATATTATACTGTGTACATCATCCTTATACACGCATGTAACTTGTTAATCTTTTTTTTTCTTTGACAGGAAGGATCCTAGTACCTCAGCAATGATGGTAGATTGCTCATTCAATTTTGATAACTCACTTTGATTAATTATACATATTTTCATTCTTAATTATGGGGGACAAATGATGAAAAATGTACAATTTGCACAGAGCTTTGTGACATGATCATAGCTTGTTAGTTTCCAGTTATGTATGCTTTCAATGTGCTGGAAATTGTAATCACCTGTGGTTTTCGATCCTGGTCCTGGGGACATTTTCTGTCTCTCTTATCTGACACACTCAGGTTATGTTTATGCAATAGTTTTGCATGCAGAGAACAATGTTATCAAAACAACACGGATCGACTAAAGTAAACTTTGTAAAGAAACACAATACGCCTGCACACATACACATTCTTCTACAGAGCGCTGAATGCAAACAGTCACACGGCATCACTGCTTTCACAAACAACGTTTTAATAACTATTCTGTGTGATTTATGTGTAGTAGAATAACTGTCTATGCCAGTTTTCTAAATATTCAGATTAGTAGCACTGCCAGTGTTGCTGTTTAAGATTGAAGATGTTTTATCATTAAATTCATTCAACTATTTCATATGTTTTTTAGTCAAATTCATTTGTAAATGAAAACATGAAAACAAGTATGAAATATAATCATAACTATGTCTAACAATGATAGAAATATAGCACAAAGTCTGATACTTTTTTTTTTGTAAGCATTATATGAATAAAAGATCATATTTGAGTATACGATCTTATTCAACGTTAACAGTGATGTATGTGATGTCTGATGTATTGTTCATCTCTTGTATTTGTACACAGTAATGTACTATTTACTTTGATCTTGCATTGAAATATACAACAAAGGTAAACATTGTAACTGTCCCAGTGAAACTTCAAAGGGGCAAAATCACAAAATAATTTAGGGGAGGGTCCCTCAACTGAAAACGACACAAAACACAGTAGGCCATTACAAAGTGTTCATATAAAATAAAGGCAATACACAGATCACTACAGCATATGCATGAAAAACATGAGTGCAAAACAACCCGTTGCGTTTATCATTTATCAAAATAAAGGACAAAACAAAAACATATCTGGTTGAATAAATACTCGTCTCTAAGCCGAAGCATGCACTGACCCTTACCAAAAAGTAGTATACTTCAAGTTTATTTTAGTAAGTATACTTAAGTAAAGTTCAAGTATATTTTAAGTATACTTTATGTAGTAAGTATACAAATATCAGTGTACTAGTAGTATACTTGTAAGTGTACTATTTCAATACTCATTGGGACTAAATTGGCCCACTTTCTAATATATAAAAGTATACTTTTAAGTATAACAGTAGTAAACTTTGAGTACACAACTAGTTTACATAAA